AGACAGAAGACTGAGGCACTCAAAAGTTGCAAAAATCTTTAAAAGCCTTTATTAAACATGGCAAAAGAGGTTAAAATTACGTATATATATTATATAATTCAATACATCAGGATTTTGAGTCAATTACAAATATTAAATGGATGTGGACTCATCAACTTGGATGTTTACATAAAATCTGTAACCCTTGGCACCTGCTCCAAATCAGCTGTTGGAATGTTTTATTGTCAAGAAATGTTATGTGTATTATCATATTAATAAATGTGTGTAGATTAGTAGGGTCTTGTCTAGTTAACCAACTCATGCATTGAGGGTGGCGAGATGGCAGCATTCTCCCAGCCCCCAGGCAAGAGTGAAAGACTAGACGTATAAACAAGCAAAAAGCCAGAAAACCTCTGGGTTGAGGCGATCACAGGAAAGAAGACACTTCTTCTGTTGGAAGAGAAGATTGTTTTCAAATATAGAGTTCATAGGTCATATTGTCACATGTGTTTCAAATCTTCATATCCTGTTACCTTTGATGGCTGGACAATCAGCGGGGTCTTTTGTGCTTTGCCTCTTGTCCGTGCAGTTAGAGCCAGGCTCCACTCAGCCTGTCTTTTATATGTATTCTGTTTTATATATTAAACCTTCTTTTATATCTATCTAAGTTTGTAGTTAGTTGTAGTAGCGCTGTTCTATGGCAACGTAAGCCTTAGTGGCAGCAGGATGGGTAGAGGACAATTTTCCCTACGGGGACAATAAAGTACACATTTACATAAATGTAAATCAAGGTATATGTACGCAATACAACTATTTTTTTTAACTCGTTTTTATCAGAATATTTTTTAATAGATTTTTTTGACTATTTATTTGTGTAATTTTGTAGCAATTTGTGCATTTTGTAGATTTGCATTTGTTCCTTGTTATTAATATTAGTACATTTGAAAAAAAAACCTGTCTGACAACTTTGTGATTACTCTGCACACAACAAAGTACTGACTGTTTGTACTATAATCTCCGTCTTTGATCTACACTGAAATGAGCACGCAGTGACAAGTAAAATAATAATAAAAAACTCTAAATAAGGAGCCACAATTTTTTGTCTATCCTTTTCTGAAAGGCTGCACAACATGCATGTAACCTAACAAGATCAAGAACAATGAAAGCAAAAAAAGAATAAAGTTTATTACAAAACCAATTATTGTTATATATTGTTGGGATGTTACAGTAAAATTAAATGGTTCAGTAATCTTAGAAACAATGAATAGCCTTGATACATTTTAAATATTTGCTCCCTTCATGTAATGAGACAGAAAGTGTGACTCGTTGATGTGTCTTGTGTTTCTAAGTCTATATAGATAATATAAAATGGTGAACTCTAGTCTTAACTGTATTGCACGCACTTCCTCTTTATCAAATATTTGCTCCCAGAAACAAAACCCTGCTGCTGCTGCTGCTGCTGCTGCTGCTGCGTGGTTGGCTGAACACAGTCACGTGTTTTACTGAAAGAGCTGCAACACGGATCCAGTTTCCTTTTGAGAGTGGCTTTCTATAACACATTATAACCTCTATTCGTCCCACAGTGGGGGACATGTTGGTGTTGCATTGTACATTACAATAGTAATAAACAGAACACAGATAAAGAAATTGCAGTCCCTGTTGCCTGCATCAAAATTTATCACAGAAAAGTTTGAAGTACTGTACCATGTGTGAATTATCAAATGCATGGGTATAATTCCTGAGTGATCATGAGTTACGTATATGGACACGTACAAACTTCAGAGTGTGGGGGAGGGTTCAAACTTAACGGTAGCTGCACTTTATCGTGTACCCCTCACCACACTCTGTGAACATAAACATGAACAACAACAATACAAACAATAACAACAAACAATACAACAACTTCAATATCAAAACTTGGGCTGGCTATTTGACTAAAAAACAAGCAAGACCTTACAATAAAAATATATATTATTATAAATCCATAAATATATATAACGTATATGTGATTAAAACCAACATTAATGAGTTCATGGCAAATGTATTCTCAAGAAATTACCATCATAATATGTTATAAATCAGATTGCCAATTAAAATGAGATGTCGGTCATTGGCATTTTGCAGATTTCTTTTTTTCATATCATAGCTTTGACTTTATTATCATTTTTAATTACTTATACCATACCTTGGAAGTGTCATGAAATGGAGAAATATTCTCTCAAATTTAAAACACAAGCACTTGACATTGGCTCTGTATTGGTTTTGTTTGTTTGTTTGTTTGTTTATTTATTTCAAGTAAAGAAAGAAAAATAACATACACAGTCAATTACACTTCTCAGTCATATGACTTGAAAAGGGTATGGAGGAAGCTTACGCTTATTCGATTCCAACCCCCCACTCACACCACATTACACCAAATACACACACTACACAATAAACAGAAACACGACACAGGCCCCAAACACTCCGACCATACACCCCTTTTCCCCATACAATACATGACAGACACAATGATAGTACTCAAAAAACAGTACTCAAAAAGGAGTAGCTCCATCACAGTTGAACATATTTACAATAAAGTCATTTACAGTCTTGACATTTGAAATGTATAAAGTGTAACTCATCTTAAACATTGACCCATACCCAGGCCATACACACACATGTGCATGTGCCTGTCTATGAGAGCATCAATCTCCCATCTCTTCCTGGTACTTATTCATTATATATCTTTTAAACATTTTTTTAAATTGCACAAGTTTTTTACATATTTTCAATTCCTCTGGAAGACTGTTCCACAATGTCACCCCCCTCACTGAAATGCAGTTAGATTTAAGGGTTGTCCTAACTTTTGGCTTATATAGTTTATTGATCCCTCTCAGATTATAAGAGTGATGAGCATCCCGATCTTGGAAAAGACTCTGGATGTGATCAGGAAGAGAATCTGTAGATGCTTTGTACATAATAAGAGCTGTTCTATAATTTACCACATCATACAATTTTAAATTAAATGAATGAAAAAACAGTGGGTTGGTGTGATCATTATATTTTACTTTATGAACAATTCTAATTGCTCTTTTTTGTAGCGTAACTAAAGGTAATAGATTTGTTTTGTAAGAATTTCCCCAAATTTCACAATAATTATGTAGAAATACAAGTAATAAATTTAAATTTAAATACATTTCTTAGTCTCTCAGTTAATTGAATTTTACTGTTTTTGAATGTGATTATCCAAGTAGAAGAAATCCATTTCAGAAATTCTGTATGTTTTCAATAATTGATTTCAAACTTGGTCACAAACAATCACAATTGAATTAAAATTATAATAGAATAATTCCCTCAACTGGTTTAAAGAGCCAGAACAAAACCAGACGACTTGAACAAAGACTAAACTATGCCTTTGAAACATGAGGATGGCCTCAAACGTTTTTATTGCACACGTTACACTTAAGGGTTACATCAAGTATGGACAGATTTTCAGGTGAACTTCATTTACAAAACAGAGGAAGAATGAATCGAAAAGATAGAACAAAAACAAGGTCTTACAAGGTCTTATGTGCAAAATGACATGGTCAAGGACCCATGTTTAGGTCAAGGACACGCAGCAGGTTTACAATTGTAGAAGAGACAAGACACAGAAATCAGAGCCCTTTAGTTTGGTACAACATTATGCATTAGATACAGGGATGTGAGGAAACATCAGAAAAATCAAAGTGCTTATGAGAAAAAAGTCAGTTTATTTAGAACTAATAAGGATACTAATAAGGAACTTGACGTATATATTTTCTCTTGAATACTTAAAATGAGCTTTTTTTCCACCTTTTTCATTAGTCTGTTAGTATTCATATTGAAACAGAAACCATTCAATAATTGAACATTGATAATTTAGAATTCCAGCAATTCTAAAAGTTTCTGACTAACTAACTAACAATAGTGCACATGTTCAACTCTGAACAAAGGATATCTTAGTATGTTTCTGTTCAAACCTGGCTCTACAGCAGTTCATTTGGACAAAAGCAAACAATAATAGACCGAAGGTGATCTTTCACACCCACAAGCAGCCACGGAACCAAACAGGATGAAAAGGCTCTTCGCACTAACATGTAAACAGTCAAACATATGTACAGGGACAGAGGAACCAACAGAAACTAAGGAACGATTGCTCAACACCCTCCGTATAAATGTGTAAAGTACCCTTCCTGGTTTCATGTAAATAGTACACCAATAGCCTTTACTTCAAACAAGGCTCAGGTTTCCTCTTGGCAAACTGGTTTAACATCAAACAAACTCACACAAACACCAATTGAGAGGCTTCTATTTTAGTTCACATGAAATGGATTCAAACACAATTTCATCACAATTCATTAAAAGAAACAAACAACATTTTCTGAACAGTTTCCTTCTGCAGCTCAGTGACCCCCTCTGAACCGCCATGATTAAAAAATTACTAATTCTTCATTATAACAATTCTAAAACATTGTTTAAAATAAATGTGTATTGTAAATCTCAGTTATGTACTGTATATTGAACTTGAAATAAAAACATTTCATTTCATTTCATAAAACACACACCATGAAGATGTCAACAGTGCAGGACTTGTGCAGGTGCCCTTGCATGTGCACTCTGTCAGACAGCGCCACCTACAGCTCAGAGTGCTCCTATCATGTCACTGTCATTTAAAAGGGACTCCCCTCCTGTATTGATGAGGGGAGTCCATTTGGGATTTCTTGCTTTTTTCCTTACACTTATAAACAAGGGTTGCAATAACAATAACTAACCCTACCAGTACCGCTAAACAACAAATGAGAATTACTGTCATATCTGCAAGAGAAAACAACATAAAAACAACAAATTAATAACATCATTTTTACAATCGACAGAGCTACATTAATATTAATAGTTACTTCTTTCCCTTTTCTTTTTCTCAATTTACTATGTAAAATTCCTTCCCCGCACCTTGACAATGAGCACTTATCAGAAAGCCACCCTTTTCCTTTGGACTATTGAACTGTAATTTGTCTCACCTTGTTCTACTGTGAGATGAACGAAGTGCACGTGGATCTTGTGGATTCCAGCTGAGTTCTTAGATCGAGTCTCACAGACGTATGTCCCGCTGTCTTTAGTCGTCACATTCCCTAAGGTCATATTCAGGAGCCTTGGACCTTGCAGTTTCACTCGCTTTGTGAAAGAAGGATCTATGTAGTCCACTCTGCCATCTTTCATCCTGAGGGACACAGGTTATATGTTCAATACTATACATTTGGGTCTTTGAAAATCAGAACTCCGATAGGTTACTCTCTTATTTACTGTATAACTGTTAGTCTTGTCATCAAGTCGAGAGGGCAAAGCTCTTGCAATCCAAATTGTGAATGTGGTACGGTGGTGCAGCAGTAGGCGCTTATGCATCACAACAAGAAGCTCCTCAATTTGATTCCATTTCCCTTCTGGGTGGCACGGTAGCTGAGTGGATAACACACTCACATCTTAGCAAGCAGGTCCTGGGTTCAAATCCCAGTTGGAACAGGCCTTTCTGGGTTGAGTTTGTATGTTTTCTTGTGTCTGTGTAGGTTTCCTCCGGGTGCTCCAGTGAGAGACAAATGTCCACAATTGTAAAGTACTTTGTTATTCTGGTCTGTGAAAGGCAATAGATAAATAAAGATTACTTACTGGTGACTGATGGTCAGTGTCTCGCTTCTGTCCACCATGTTTGGAATGAATGGAAAATATTGGCTCTCCAAAAACATTGCTAAGTGCTTTGGGTGACCTTGGTCTATGAAATGAGCTAGATAAATGTTGTGTCAAATACTGTTTCAGGAGGTGGAAAGCCTCACTAGATGCATTTGAATAATTATCTTGATTTCTTCAACAAATTAATTGTGAACCCTAAGATTCCCCGGATGAGCTGGAAGAAGTGTGTGTGGATCAGGAAGTCTGTCCATCTCTGCTTAGACTTCTATCCCCGGGACCCGGCAACGGATAAAGCGGAAGTAACAAGAGTAACGATGATTGAAAGCAAGAAGGAGAGCTACCGCAAGGCCTTCATCCCCACCACTGTCAGACTGTACAATAAGTCATTTTAAGTCACTAATAACCTGCACTTGGACTGAAATACCAGCACTGCTATTGCCACATTCTATTGTACATAATCATATCCTGCACAAACTATATTTTTTAACCACAACATGTTGCACACTTCCTGTCTTTTTGCACAATCTGAGTGACTCTATCTATGCCAAATGTGACATGTACATTTCTCCATTGTCAGATTAATAAAGCTTATCTTATCTATCTTATCTTAGTAATACATTACCACGTTTGCTATGAGCTACACAAGTTACTTTAAAAATAAATATATAATTACTTTTGTAACTATTGTTATTCTGTAACTAATTACTGTAAAACTCCATTCAATACTGAGTGTGTAGTTATCACCTGATGAGGATGGCTGTCTGATTCCCTTTCACTTTGGCCCACATTAGATCCTGAACTGTGTCGCCCTCTGGTGACAGACACTCCAGCTGCTCATCCTCTGCAGACTGATTCAGAGAGACCGAACCTTCACAGGGAGAATACACAGTCAAGTACAACAGTCGAGCTCATTCCTAAATCAACCATATGAGGCCTCTGTAAATGTGGTGTTGATATGTGCTAACCTGAAGTCACAGAGATTTCCACAGTGTTTTTAACTGTCTTCTTTCCTTCTGTAGTATTAACCAGAGCCTCACACGTGTACGTCCCACTGTCGTCTTCAGTGACGTTCTTCAGGATCACGCTCAGGTCTCCAGACTTAAAATGTGGATCTTTAAGCTCCACTCGGTTATAGAAAAACGGCTCTTGTTTCTTTGGCCACAGCTTGTCGTCTCTGTAGAATAGGACGTATTCCGTACTATTGCCTCGTTTACATCCCAGGAATATAACATCAGTGACTCCAGCTCAGGAAGAATGTTTTTAACCACTGAAACAGAACGTGTTTATTCAGTTAATGTTTTCAGGAAGCTTTTATTACATAAGGGCAGGAAAGAGGTAACTGACCAATGAGAGTTTTGTGTCAGACCATGAGCCGAGAATATGGGAGAAGTTGCAAACACTGGACTTAGACTCGAGAAGAGGACATCACATTAATCTTATTTACTGCATGTGCAAGTATTTCAACATCAATGAAAGAAAGGAGTCTGTTTATCCAACTAGAAAAAGCACAAATTTTGTTCTAAGGCTATGATAAAATCAAGTTCAAAGGAGCAAAGCTGGAAGGTGGGTCAGTTTTATTTGAATTTAGTCGTAGGAAGTTGCCTCTCATTCTTCAAATTATATCGTCAATACATTGAAAAAAGGGGCTTCTTTGGGACTTTCTCGATTATAAGTATTCCTTTTTAGTTACTCTTGCGCACATGTTATCCAGGTGTCCTTGGGAGGAGCAGGGTGTGTGTGCACATCCCAGCTGCCACAAGTTGGTCCACATTGAGTGTTGTTCCTTGTCTCAGGCAGGCTCCAGTCACGTTGCTGTGTAGAGGACATTAGTCTCTATTAGTCCCTACAGACTTTAGCAAATCCCTGTAAATCTACAAATTCAATCGACCCCCTTTACCTCTGGGCCTACCAGGCCTGCTCTTGCCCTGGCGGAATTTGAAAGAGTGGGGGAAAGGACAGGATTGGAGACAGAGGCAGATCCTCAAGTGATAGTATCTAGCAAAGCTATGTAAAGGGGCTACGCTTCAACCCAGTGAGGCAACTTAGATGTACAACTAATTATCCGTTTTGTGTCAAGAAACACATACATAAATAGAATGGTGTGCTTATAGTTATCTGATATTTCCCACCATGCATCCTCTGCTGGTGCATTAATAGTGTAACTAAAAGCTGAGCGAGTGTTTGTGGTTTTATCTAAATGTGACAGGAAGAGCAGAGGTGAAGAACAGATGCCCCTGAACCACAGGCACAGGAGCCAGCAGTGATGGAAGCCACAGCTCTGCTCCGTGAGTGCAACTACTGATGTGCACATTCTTAACCTGGCATTCATTTTATTTTACTTTATTTGTCTTCTATTTATTATTTCCACATAGTGCTGTTTCTGCTGTTCTGCCCCACATTTCAAGGTCAGTCTGTTTAGTGTTTCCTCATTATTCACACATGCACATTTATCATGAACGTATGATGCTAATTAAGAAATAAATACTTAGGTCATTTGTGAAATCGGCCTGAGAATTGCATAGGTAGGTAAAGTAGAAAATGGAGTTTGAGCCAGTTCTATTGACTTATAAGCTGAATTGAGACATTTAATAATATACTAATAAAGCTGAGTCTTTTCTTTAAAGTTAAAACTGCATCTAGTTTTTTTCTATTTTTCATTAACCTCATGCTGCAAGATACATTTTTGCATGATCATGATTTCACAATTAGCTTAAATAGTTTTTTATTGTGAAGTCGAGCCTGTTCTCACTTGAAATTTTAATGAACGTTTAAACTTGTGCAATAATTGTCAGTGAATTTGATTACATGGCAGCTGGAGGGATTCCATTTTGGACATCAGCTTTACTTCCTGTGAATTTTAAAACATTTTCTTCAACTTTTTGTCACTACTCTGTAAAACTAGTATAACATCCAATAGTGGTTCTGCCCTAGAAGTCAATTATAATCTTATTGCATCACACACCAGGTCTTTGAGTGTGATGCAACATAATATATTTCCAAGTGATTATACAATTTGGTAAAATTAAAGGCTTTGTGCTCCTGATTTTGTGGTCCTGCTGGATTTGACTAACAATACATAACCACCTGAAATGTCATCAAATGTCAATAAATAAACACATAGATATGATGCAAATACATAAAAAAAATGCTATCACAACATTAAAGAGACAATATTGTATCTACTTTAAAAATATCAATATTTGTCTCGAATCTAAATACATATTTTAGCGCTGCCCTATCTTTGAATAAGTCAGAATCGACCGCAACCTGTCTGTATCCTCACAGGACTGATTGTCTTCTGTCTTTCTCTGACCTGCTCTTGACCCCGTAGGTGTTGTCCGTACTCGGCTGGCTCTTCGGCTGGCTTTTTGGCTGGCTCTTCTGCTGCTTCCTCCTGATTGGCTGGGACGCGGAGGGCGGCCTCAGGGCTCGGTAGCGGTGCAGCTCTTTGGCCGTGGTGACACCAGATTTCACCGCGTTACGGTTCAGAGCCACAAAGTCCAGCGGACACGAGTCCCGCGTTGCCAGGCCAGGTGGTTCTTGTTGCCTCCACCCTGACAGCACTGGAAGAAATGAAGCAAACAGTCTGTGGTGTGCTCTGTGGCCATGTTTGTATTAACATTATGTTTTTAGAAATAGTACGTTTTGTTTGTCGCAACAGAAAAAGTAAGATGTGAACGAGATTGCAAAATTCTGTCTTTAGAATTTTGTGATCTCGTTCTGGTGGGCTTTAGAGCTGATTGGCCAAATGAGTGTGGTCCTCTTTTTTCACTTTTGTGTCTGAAAAGGCTGATCTAAAGATGTTACAAAGGCCAAATAACATAAACACATACATGAAGGTGAAGCATACATTTTTTAAATAATTTTCTGGGATGACTGAAAGTTGGTCTTACCCTGGGAAACTCCTTCATGGATCTCTCCTGCAACTCCATAAGTGAAGTCTGGTCCTGGGATGGAGAATCCTCTGAGCCTGGGCTTTCCTAAAGGAGCCTGTAACCCGGGAAACAAGGAGACGGGGAAGGGGAGGACACATGACCATGAGAGAAAGTAGATATTTGTGCAGTGGCAGTACCATAGTTATTACTTCGTCAAATGGGACACACATTTCTTAACACTTCTCACACTTAAAACATTCATAACGACTCATACCTGTTTAACTTTTACAGTTCTATCAATACAGTTCTCTCATTTGGGTTCAGTCAGTCACATCTTTAGAGCTGCTTTTTGAGACAGAGAAGTGAAAGAGGGCCAACCTCACTATGCTCTCAGCCCAAAGTGTCAAATAGTGACTCAGGTTCTGTTTTACAAGTATACAATGTTTTCCAAACTAGTTAGAGGATAGCATGCTGTGGTCTGACTTTCTTGCAACATTTAACTTTCTGGACCCTTTCTGTTGGGATCAAAGAGTCATTCATCATTTTCAAATGTTAGGTACACCAGCTTTAAGGGTACATTTCCTAATGTATTGCTTTGTCAAATGAGACATGCATCGTAACCATAAAAATGTTTCTTCATAATCATTAAACTATAAATAAATAATATAGTTAATAGCTTTGGCCCTTGTTTACTTTGTGGTTACTATGGAAAATACCTCAAGATTCAAGGTTAATTTATTATGTCCCATTGGAAATTTGTCTTGGACTCACAGGCTGCTACATTGAAAATACAAATAAGACAAACATAAAACACAACACAGTAACACAAACATAAACCATCATGAGTGACATGAGAAAGTTCACAGAATGATCCAATACAAGACAATATGTGAACAACATTTTATCTGATGTCTCACCTCAATGATGCGAGGGTTGATCATCATGGACTTTCGGAATACGCCCACTCTCGGAGGCGTAGCCATGGCAACAGCCCGTTGGAACCTGTTTACAGAGAAGACAGAGCAGGGGTTCCAAAACCTTTCAGTCCAGGTCCCCCAAAGGACACAATCAACTCACCACAAATTTGATAGCATTAATGATTTAATAATAAATCGGTTTTATATAGCGCTTTTTTGGACACTCAAAGACGCTTCACATGTGTCATTATTCATTCACTCCAAACACGGTGGTGATAAACTACTAATGTAGCCACAGCTGCCCTGGGGCACACTGACAGAAGCGAGGCAACCAGTATGTGCCATCGGCCCCTCCGACCACCACCAACCATTCACACACACACCAGACTCATTCTAGGCAATGGGGGTGAAGTGTCTTGCCTAAGGACACAACGGCAGTTTGGCACTTTACAGCCGCAGCCGCCCCACTGTGGCTGGTGTTCCCAGAGGTTAAGTGTCTTGCCAAGGACACAACGACAGTAGTCAGTGGGAGTCGATGGTGAAAGTCTTGAGCGGGGTTTGAACCCACGACCTTCTGGCTCAAAGGCCAACGCTCTACCAACTGAGCTACTGCCGCCCTTTTTTGAAATGTAAGTCAATTTGAATCATGAGGATTTAAATAATGGGCTGTGTTATGGTCTTGTATCTTAATGAATGATTCAACACACTGTCATATAGAATCATATCTTTTGATTGATTGATTGATTGATTGATTGATTTTATTTCAAGCTTATGAACAGGAATCAATTTATAGATTTAAAAGCAATTACATACAATACATGATAGAAATTTACATACATACATACATACATACATTAATGTATATATACATTTGTATTTTTATTATTTTTATTTATTTTCACTTTTAATTTATTTTCACTCCTGTTAAAGCTCAAAAAGGAGTGGGAAGAAGTCAAACTTATAGGCTCCCACCCCCTATACCTATATTCACTTTATACGGTTGCACCTACCCGCCCACACATACATACAGACATAGCCATACATATACAATATTCATACACACATATTATAGTTGTTCTTGTCATGTATAAATATGTAACCATACACACACACACAAATACACAAATATATATATATATATACATATACACACATACACATATACATACATACACATACACACATATATATACATACATATATACACACATACATATACACATATACATATACATACACATACACATATATATATACATACATACACACATTATATATGTTTCTTTGAAACAAATGTGTCACAGTGGCCAACGCGCACCGGTAAGTTCGACACTGCCATCTCCCACCAGGCCCAGGCGCACCAAGCAAACCCACAGCAGCAGACCATCCGCACAGGAGAGAGAGAGGCCAACACTCACTACAGCCTTCCAACAGCTTCATGAGCCACAATCAACAGTTTTGTTTTACCTCAACACAATACAACATATTTTCACAATATCTCCTTTAGTAGAGAGCGCAAAATAAATTGTATTGATTTCCTTTTCAATTTATTTTCATTTATTCAATTTTGATTTTCTTCAGTCTCACTCCTTGACTTTAAGTAGAGCAGATTATCACCCGTGTGACTGCCTCACTCTATCTTTAGACAAAGGGAGCTTTTAGTTTTGTTTTTGTTTTAATTGCAATTCAGAATGAGAGAAAGCACTCTCACCAGACCGTCAAAGAACGCTACCGTGAGGCCGGCCAGTCTCCTCCACACCTCAAGTCCCACCATAGTACTCACCTACCACGCCAAAGGCCCAGCCAGAGAGACAGCACCTACACCCACCACTGCAACATCAGCCCCTAAAACACATCTATCCCAAAGCCCAAGCTGGTATTTTAGAGTCAACCCCTACAGTAATAATAACAATACTAGATTTTTATGACATATTTTCCTCTTGATATTTTACAAATGTCATTTCCTTAAAGCCTTTTTTAAATATTGCTAAATTTGGACATTCTTTAAGCTGCACTCTCAACTTATTCCTGATTTATCACTGATATACTATATTTTTCCCTTCACGTAACTAATGTGAGCTTTCCAGTTTATTTTTTCATCTATTAAAACTCCTAAAAACTTTATTTCATTTACTCTTTCAATAGTTTTGCCATCCAGTTTTATTTCAACGTCATCATTTGTTACACTCCCCAAACAGTATGAACTTTGTTTTTGCCAAATTTAGTGATAACTTGTTTCCATCAAACCATGACTTAAGTGCATCCAATTCTGTATTTATTTCTTGGACTAGTGACTTGAGATTACTCCCTGAACAGAAAACACTTGTGTCATCCGCAAAGAGAACCATTCTAAGAGTTTTTGACACCTGAGTCAAGTCATTTATGTATAGAATAAATAATTTAGGACCTAACACTGCCCCCTGTGGGACACCACAGGAAACGTTTAGATATGAGGAGCATATGTTTCCAATTTTTACAAATTGTTTTCTGTTTGTCAAGTAACTCTTTACCCATTCCAATACTTTACCCCTAATCCCATATCTTTCCAGTTTAGAAATTAAAATGTCATGGTTAATTGTGTCAAATGCCTTTTGAAGGTCAAGGAATATTCCTATTGAATGCAGTCTCTAGTCGAGTGAATTTGTTACATCTTCAATGGAATCCAACAGTGCTAAAACTGTAGACCTCTGTGATCGGAACCCGTATTGGCTTTCACTAAGTATATTGTTTTTGTCCAGAAATTTGTCCAGGCGTACCACAAAGAGCTTTTCTATAATTTTTGAAAATTGTGGAAGCAATGAGACCGGTCTATAGTTTGTGAAATTGTGCTTGTCCCCAGACTTAAACAGTGGAATCACTTTAGCAATTTTCATTTGGTGAGGGAATGTACCAGACTGAAACGACAAATTACAGATGAATGTGATTGGCTTTACTATGCCCTCAATAACAGTTTTAACAAGCTTCATGTCAATGAAGCTTGTTAGCTTCAATAGGAGGAGTGAGACTATGGAACAACTTAGACGACGCAATCAAAAACTCCTACTCATTGAAGACGTTTAAAAATAATATTAAACATAATATTTTAAGTAATTACCAAGCCCAAGAATGATGGGTCTAGCAGCTCTCCTACATCTCTATGACAGCCTTTTGCTGTTTGCTTTTGTTGTTAAAATATTAAAATGTGTTTTCTCAAATTATTTATATTTTTCCATCCTAGTGTTTCTTTTATTATTAAAATGTTCTCCTGATTTTGACTTTTAGTTTGGCTTCTATTTTAAAAGGGTTTTTTCCCCATACTTTGGAGACTTTACTTAATGAATTGGATTAGGCAAAAATAAGTTATACTTCAGCCTAATCCCTTCGGTCACAACTGCGTTTGTAAATCTATGTGAAAGCATGTACATTACTGACATAAGATTCATTGTTTTTGTAATCTTGTCCTCTTTTGATTGTCTTTTATGTCTAAATAATGATAATTTGTATGACCGAATAAATAAACAAACTCAATGTCATGACAGTCACCAGGTGTCTTATTTTTACATTCACAGACCGTTCTTATTACCTCCGCCTCTTCAACGTGATCGAAAAACATTGACCCAAGGTTTCTTTTTATATGGCTAACTGGATCGTTTCCTGTATTGGGAATGTTGTGTGCCAATTCAGAACCAATATTTACAAAGAACTCATTGAAACCATTTGCAACCTCTAGCATATTATCCTTTTCTTTATCATTTACATTGAACCATTTAGGGCAGTCTATCTTCTTGTTGGACTTATTAAGGACACCATTTAATATGTTCCACAATTCTCTAACGTTGTTTTTGTTCGTTTCCAGTAGTTTATAGTAATAGTCCTTCTTTGCAGTGCTTATTATGCTTGTTAGCTTGTTTTTGTATCTTTTGTACTTTTGCTCAGCCTCCACAGTTCTTACTTTAATGAATCTTTTGTAAAACATATTCTTCTTTTTACAGGCATTATGTAGTCCCCGTGTAATCCAGGGTTGTCCTTTCTGTTCTAGCTTATCCCTTGTTTCCCTTAATGGACAATTTTTATCATAAAGCAATTGGAATATTTGAAGAAATGTGTTATACGCATCATTTACATTTCTCTGCCCGTACATTTCCTCCCAGTTATATGCTGCTAAGTCTGTTTTGAAGGCATTTAGGGCTTCTTCTGTTCTTACTCTTGTGTATCTAACTGTTTTTTCCCGTTTTTTGGGTATACAGCTACAATCCAATACTACAAATACAGGCAAATGGTCACTTATATCACTCACTATCAGTCCACTAATAGCATCATTCAGGACATTTGTTAGGATATTATCAATTAGTGTAGCACTGTGAGAAGTTATTCGAGTGGGTCTTGTGATTTTGGGATATAAATTGATTCTATAGATTGTGTGAATAAAATCTTCAACCATTCTCTGCTTTTTTGGAATTAGTAAAATCCCCGCACACAAATTACACATTTTTCGGCCTTTCCATTAAATAGTTCCTCCATTTTCTCGCTGAACTGATCTATACAGCAACTAGGCATTCGATATATACAACTAATAATAAAAATGTTTAACTTTTCTCTCTGGATCTCTATTGTTATGCATTCTAGCACATTGTCCACTGCAATAGTCATTTTATCCACCACATGAAAATCCAAATTTGAGTTTACAAATAATGCAACTCCCCCACCACTTTTGTTTTTCCTATCCATGTGTACAAAATCATACCCAACCAATTCAAAGTTGCTTTCCTTTCCCACACTAATCCACGTCTCTGATATTGCAATTATATCAAACGGCTGCACAAGATTATGTAAGTAGTTCTTTATATGATCAAAATTAGCATACATACTACGACTGTTTACATGTATTACCGATAGTTTTCCGTCCTTATTGATTCGATTCAGCATATCATCAGTGTAATATCCACAGGTATCATTGTCTATGCCAGCGAAAAAGTCGTTTACCGGATCACAATCCCGATCAATGTCCCGCTCAATGTGATCTGAAAATTTAAATGTTCGAGTGTCCGAGAGGTCAAGGCCATTGTTTATGGAACTCCCTACCAATG